CCCCTTATCTTGGTAAAGGGGCAGGACATTAATATACCGATAACTGTCACAAATCCCATTACTCAGTGATTTCATGCGAGTGAACAAGACAGATGTTGTGGCACAGTGCGTTCCTAATCGTAAAACATATTGCCCAGCTCAACGCAGGTGCTCGTGGTGATGACTGCTGGTGTTTACTGGCCATTGACATCAGCATTACGGTGCATGAGAAAACGATATGTCACATTGTGGACAACAGTTCACCATAATGAAATGCAAGACAGATGGCAAAGTTGATCGAGAGACTAATGAACGTATTCAGAAAAACCAGTGAACAGTGATTGATTATACACAAAACCTCGCTTGGTTGACAAATGAGACATGCAGATTGGTTTTGGTTACTGTGTTCGTAGAGTTACAAGTGGTACACGAAACTTTTTTCTCCATCTCATGGACATTTCTATGGCCTCAATGCATATAATATAACCAATAAAGTCTGGCAACAGACCACCGAATGGTGAATTTTGTTTGTCTGTTGTCCAGACAACTCATAAATGAAGTACCAGTAAGAACACCTGCTATACCCTGGAGTTTTAACCTGGAGAGAGTTCCGGGGGTCAACAGCACCTTTGGCCCCAGTCTGTGACCAGCCTCCTGAGGAACAGAGCCTGATCCATCCAGACTGTTGCTGCTGGCATGCATGTAAACAACATATAGCAAAAGGGGGGCAGCCCGCTGATCAGGCAACCAATTTAGGTGCTTGTCCCAGTGCCAGCTTGAAGACGCCCAGGGGTCTGTTGGTCATCCACTTATGTATGCTGGGAGCATTTGAACCAGTCTCGGCCCCTACACTTATTGAATGGGTCTCCTTAACTGCTAGTGACACCCCTGCTTTTCAATGGGGATGTCGCAAATCTCTGCCAAGTCTTTTGCTTTCGTAGTGAGTGATTTTTCGTGTTGCAAGTTCGGGTACTAGTCCCTCTTGATTTCCAGGTGTATATATCATTAACTCTCCCGCCTGCATTCCAGGGAATACAGGTTTCAGGAACCTCAGTGCTCCCAGTAATTGAGGTGTTTTATCTCCGTTTATGCGCGCCGGACAGGTTTTCTGTACTTTTTAGGTCAGCAATTTCACCTGCCTGAAAAGGTGCTGTAAGTGTGCACAATATTCCAGCCTAGATAGAACAAGTGACCTGAAAGGTTATCATGGGCTTTGCCTCCCTAGTTTTGAAGGTTCTCATTATCCATCCTGTCATTTTTCTAGCAGATCATTGATACAATGTTATGGTCCTTGAAGGTGAGACCCTCCGCCATGATCACTACCCAGTCTTTGACGTTGGTGTTTTCGCTCTATTTTGTGGCCAGAATTGTTTTTGTACTCTGATGAAATTTAATTTCCTCGAGTTTACCAAACTGAGTATTGAAATTTCTCATCGTTGAACTTCATATTGTTTTCTTTTTCTGCAGCCCACTGAAAGATTCGGGTTGATTCCGCCTGGCCCTTGCAGTGTCTGCAATGGAAACACTGTCCATGCAGATTTCGGTGTCATCTGCAAAGGAAGACACGGTCTGGGCTGACATCCTTGACTATGGTCGGATATGAGGATGAGAACAAGATGGGAGCGAGTACGTGCCTTGTGAACAGAGCTTTCACCGTACTGCCACGGACTTTAACTCTGTTGACGACTACTCTCTGTGTTCTGTTAGTGAAGTAAATTAATAGATCCATCGACCGACTTTTCTTTATCCCTTAAGCACTCATTTTGTGTGCTATTTACGCCATGGGTGCACAACTTTTCGAAGGCGTTTGCAAAGTCTGTAATATATTACAATACAACAAGGTCCTCGAATTACCAGGAATATACCAAGCGTTTGAGGGAGGGAAGGTGATTATCATTCATAATACAGCTTCCTTCAACTCAGAAGAATTGCTCAGAAGAGATGCATCGTAAGTCACAAACAAAACGACGGCAAACAAAACGCAAGACACGCGGTTTTAGTGTGAGGAATGTAAGGTGCCTCTGTTCATGGGTGCCCTTGTTATCAAGGAGTTCCACAAGCCTCCAGCAGTTTCTAAAAACCATGTCCAGTGATTGTAATTTGTAAAAATATATGATAGAACATTTGCGTTATACAAGATTTGTCATGTTATGTAATAAACAACAGTGGTAAACAATAATATGATAAAAACTTTAGTGCGGTTATTGTGTATTCAATACAGTGAGTTTATAAACAGGAGGGCCCCACTTATACGGGCGGGTTAAAAAAAAAAAAAAAAAAAATAAAAAAAGGTTCCAGGCTACCGCTGTAAAGCGAAACCGCCGAAAGTGGAACACCCGTTGGGTGTGTGGGGGGGGGGGGGGGGGGGGGGGGGGGGTACAACATTCCACTTACAAATGCATACAAACACTAGATAACAAGTTTACAGTAACATTTATTATGCGTTAGCAATAGAACCAGCATCAAAAAAAAAAAAACAATATAATAGTACAATACACACACATAGTGCACTCATTACTTACCGTAAAATATTATAGCCCTTACTCTAGGTGAGACAAAGCAGTGTTTTTGTAAAAATCAAGTGTGGTATGTATGGTAGTCAGCCTGGCTACCATACCAGGCCACCCCACCCACACATAATATTCTATGTATTTAAGCACCCAGAGCGATAAAATTATATACAGTTCACATCTTTACTTACCTTAAAATATAGGAGAGATGAGTAGTAATTATTTTATGAAAAAAATCAAGTATGGTAGTATGAGTCAGCCGGCAAGCCACCCCCCCCCCCCCCATAACCAGGCCAACCCACCCACACATATATTCAATGATATTACGCATCCCAGAGCGATAAATGTATATACATTTCCTCATTACTTACCTTAAAATATTTGTAGTCTTAATGTAGGGTCAGGAGTAAGTAAATGAGATACAACGAAATAAATGACAGAGAGAAAGATGAGTGCATAATAGAGACAGGCCAGAGTTATGTAAACAACCAGGCGAAGGTAAGTTTGTAAACGAAGTGTACACGTCGGGTTTGTGAACAAGTTACCTGTGTACAGGTTGTCTCTTTTCATGATACGTAGAATAAATAAAGAAGAACACTCCCAATATCATGAACATCATTTGAGAAGAAATGATGCTCTGAGTGAAGCAATGGAAGTAATCACTCCTGACTTTTTTGGGTTATTCCTAAGGATCTCTACACATATTTTGTTATGTATTTATGTTATGTATCGTGTTTATTATATAAATTTGAAAAAAATACCACGGATGGATTAATGAAAATGTGTATATTAATGTAATATACAACATTTAATGAATACACCACTCAGACAGCGAAACAAACAACAAACTGAACAGGTAGTGGAAGATCACTCGGTCAGGCGAAATAAACGGTATTAATACGTGGCCAGTTTTTAGTTCATTCATGAACATTGTAAAGAGTTTGTGAAGACTTTTACCTTATAAAAATATTTTTATTATTATAATAATAATTAAATCACAAAAACAAATTCTCTTACACTGTGTACAAGAAGTACAGAATTAAAGCTATAAAGAGAAGGCATACTAAAGGAATATTTTTCTACAGTTATCCCAGTAACAGGTGACGGGCTAGAGAAAAACCGTAATTCTTCCCGACATCTTCTACAAACCGTTTGGTAAACATCCATATAGATTTTGGTATAAAATTTTAACTGTGGGTGCAATGTATCAATGTTTGTGGTGTTAACATACATGTATTTCTTATATAATTTTGGAAAAAAATATCAAGCTTAAGGAAATGTCTATATATAAACGTAATTATCCTACATTAATGCCCCAAGAGATTATTATTATTACTATTATTATTATTATTAAATTATTATATATGCTCAAGAGTAGAAAGACTCCCTTAGTGATTTTATGAGTACCTACATTGCCAGCACAGTGTGAAAGTTTATTTAGGTACAGTTTACACAAGTTTATCAAGTACAAACTTATAAAATATACAAAACTTTAACACACTTGAAATTTAGGAAAGTATCCAGACATAAGTGCTCAGGGAGAATGTAAACAAACCGTGGGCCCGCGTGACGTATTAAAAAGACAGTGGGGAGCCGTATAGCGAGTTTTGGTCATAATTTGAAATGTCCGTAATATGCAAGAACGCCGTACAGCGAAAACGCCGTAAAGCGGGGCCCATGCTGTATATACACATTAAATACAGTATTGGCTCTCGGCCCCAAATGTTAGTAGAAGAGAAAAAAATTATGAAAAAAGAATTTCGGGGGGTTAAAGGTTAAAATAAAGCCCTAGTAAGAAATCACCTCGCCCAACCTAAAATTTAACCAAAACAAACCCTACCTAATCACTTCCAGTTTCTCAAAAGCTACTCATATTGTGCTGATCAATGCTCAACCACTTACTACTTCGAAATTAGGATGTTTATTTTTCCATTGTTTTAAATAGTAGTATATTGTAATACAGTACATCATAATGTAAATTGTTTCATTGTAATACCAAATTTCATTGTTTTAAATAGTACTAAACTATAATACATCATATTAACTAATTCAATAGTGTAATAAGTCTCTACTAGACTTATCAGAACCATGTAGCATTACCTGATAGAATATGTAATTCTTCTGTACTCACTGTAACTCACCTAATGACCATATGAACTATGTATTATTGCCTTACTAATCTTAAGTTAATCTCTAAGTTTGCCCGAAATGCTCTGCATACAAAGGGGCTTTTGGCATGTACACCCAACTGTTATATTCCTCTGTACAACCATGTAATTTGTCAAAATAAACATCTTGATCTTTATCTAGTGTTTGTGTTTTGTTGCAGCTCTCCAAGAAGAGTCTGAACACTGAGTCAGTGTTTGAATTGAGTGTTCTGTATAAATATTAAGTACAGTACATAGTAAGTGTGGATATTTTGTACATTGAGTAAACTTAAAATTTTGATTGGAAGTTGAATTGTCTGGAATCTGTTTGAGTGATCATTCTAACAAAATTCATTGTTTCCAGAATTATTTGATTGTTACCAAGAAATAAACATTGATACCATGGATTGGATTAATTGCAACACATGCTGTAGACAACCAGGTGATGAAAAGGAACGGATCTTCACTCTTACGAGTTGTGGGCACATCTTCTGTGATGTCTGCCTTGCACAGGGTATGCAAATACATACTATATTTGTGTGTAGAATCCTGTGATTTTACACCTATTGTCATTTTACTCTTGTAGCAGAGCTGTATGACCCATATTGGTTTAGGGCATAAAATGAATATGTGGGAAGATGGAGGGAATATTTTGAGGAATTGTTAAATGTTGAAGAAGATAGGGAAACTGTGGTTTTGTGTATAGGGCAAGGAGGAATAACATCTTGTAGGAGTGAGGAAGAGCCAGTTGTGAGTGTGGGAGAAGTGTGTGAGGCAGTGCGTAGAACGAAAGGAGGTAAAGCAACTGGGATTGATGGGATAAGGATAGAAATGTTAAATCAGGTGGGGATTTAGTTTTGGAGTGGTTAGTGGTTAGTGGAAGAGGGTAAGGTACCTAGGGATTGGCATAGAGCATTCATGGTTCTTTTGTATAAAGGCAAAGGGGACAAAAGAGTGTAAAAACTATAGGAGAATAAATTGCTGAGTGTACCTGGTACAGTGTATGGTAGTCACTATTGCAAGAATTAAGAGTAATGAAGTGCTGCAGCTTCCACCCCAGTCCCACCTTAGGGTGGACAAAGCACCAAACGATGCCCATTTGCCTGTTCCTCAGGTAAGGGCTCGGGGTGGAGAAAATAGGGAACAAATAACAAGGGGGAAATTACTAGAATATGAGAGAATAGAAGGTAGCGCCTTTTCTTGGAAGTATGCTGCCATCACCTGGTCTTTTAATAAATGAAAGACATAAAAGTAGCCATATCATAGGAGAAGGGAGGAAAACACGGAGTTTGGGTTAGAGCAGGAGAAAACCCAGTGAGAATACAGGAGAGTTATAACACGATAGGAGTCCTGATAAGTACTGGCTCTTAGGGTAGCTTGACCTGAAAAAATGAGCAGTAGACACCTTCAGGGGCTTGACTCTCCCAAAAAAAAGATATCATCACTAGGTTACTCAATTTAACCTCTGAAAACCAAAAGGACCTTATATACATGGCTCAAAGGGGAAGTAAAACATACTCGATAAAAACCACTTACAATTTAATAAACACATTACAAGAGAACTGAAATTTGTTAGCC